GTATATATATATATATATATATATATATATTTTAAAAAGTTTCTATCAAATAAAAAATTTGATGGAAGTGTAAAATACATTAAGTAAAAAAACAAATTTATATAATTATTTATATTTGGTATGTGTAATTGTTTATAAAAATGGTTTCATTAATAATATAATAAAATTGATAAAATTAATTTATTACTTTAACCTTAATGTTTTTCACATTTCCACTAAAATATTTTTAATTATTAATCTAAAACTGGCAGTATCTAGGCAGATAAATAAAATTTTTTTTTTGATTATGATTTGAAACTTTAAAATATTTAAAATTATTTTTTAAATATTTCATACATGAAATTTTATGTGTATAATTTTTAAAGCATAATAAAAGCTATGAATTTATAAATGGTTTAAAATTTAAACTTATTATTTATAATTTATTTTTAACGAAATTATGAATTCTTCAGATCTATTTTTAGAAAATTAGTATAATAAAGAAAACTATAATTTTAATTGAAACCTAAATTATTATGTCAGTAAGTTTCTCAGAATTAATGTTTTTTAATTAAAGGTCAGTCCTGTGCGTACCTTAGTGCTCGTAATCTTCCTGCAATAAGAAAAGATGGGTCTTCCAACATAGCTTTTAAAACAGCCAAAAAGTCGGCTGCTTGATCTTCATCAATTGCTCGTCTATCGTACGATAAGGATGTTGACATTTTTGTTACTTTTTGTAATGCAGCATCTACAAAATATATATAATACATTAATATTTTATAATATTATCTTTATAATATTATATTTCTAAATGCTTTTTAAATGCTTTTTACTTAGTTCTTCTTGACCACTTCCAACTGCTAGTATTGCTGTTTGCGGAAGATTTATAATGGCCCTGAATTGCTTAATACCAAACATTCCTAAATTGGATATTCTAAAAAAAAATATTAGAAATATATATAAAATATAATTTATATCTCTATGTTTCATTCATAAATTCATTTATTTACGTGAATGTTCCTCCTTGGAATTCTTCCGGTTTTAATTGACCAGCTTTAGCTTTTTGGGCTAATTCTTTTATATTTTTCGAAATATCCAGTAGACTTTTAGCTGTAGCATCAAAAACAATTGGCGTAATAAGTCCTGATTCAATAGCAACTGCGATAGAAATATCAACTCTTGGCATTTGAATTATCTATTAAAAATAATATTTATGAAATTTATTATATTTAGTAAATTTCAATAATTATATCAAAGTACATACTAACTTGATCATTTTTATATAATGTATTTATAAATGGACATTCAACTAATGCGTGTGCAGTTGCTTTTGTAATGAAATCGTTTATCGAAATGTTAATACCATCGGCTTTGAGTTCCTTACGAATTTCATTTATTTTATCAATTTTAATATCGATAGTCGCATAAGAATGCGGGATAATTCTCTAAAAATTTATTAAAAATTTATTTTCTATTATGTAGAAAAAGTACAAGAAATATTGCATATATTAATATATAAAAATAGTTTATAATTACTTTTGATTCTCCAAGTCTTTTAGCAATGATACTGCGTATATTAGAAACTGGAATATCTTGATAGGAGGAGGGAACACCACTGGGTACATGTTTCTTTACAAAAATATCAGGTTGCTTTTGATCTTTAGGGGGAGGTGCTATTTAAATAGAAATATAAATTTCAATATACATAACATATATCTATATATAATAAATATTATTTTCATATTTTTATTATTTGTTTTTACATACCTGTTTTTGGTGCAACTTTTTTTTATATTTTTTGCTTGAATATAACTTAAAACATCACTTTTTAGTAATCGATTAGGCCGGCCAGTACCTTTAATTTCTTCTGCTTTTAATCCATATTCCTCCAATAATCGTCTTACTGCAAGACCATATACTCTGAAGAAAAAAAAACAATTATACATAATAATAGAAAACATATATCATAATTCAAAGTTAAAAATATTTCTATGCATACTGTCCACTTGGTGCAGGTGGAGTAACAACAGAAGGAGCTGGAACACCTACAGGAGGAGCAGTTGGAACAGCTACAGGAGGAGTAGTTGGAACAGCTACAGGAGCAACTCCAGGAGCAGCAGTAGGTTTTGTTATTGTTGGAATTACAACATTTTTCCAATCCATTCCTTTTTCTACTGTAATGGCAATTAATTCTCCTATTTCCGCTTCACTTCCTTCAGGAACCTGTTTCATGATAAGTCTTTAAGTGGATATTACAATTTTTCAACAGAACATAATTGAATGTTTAATAACAATTATATACAAGTATTTTTGCAAGTATGCTTTCATCCTCAATTTCAAAAGTCATGACAGCTTTGTCTGTTTGAATTTCAGCCACTGCATCCCCAGGTTCTATTGCTTCTCCTTCTTTTTTAAGCCATTTTACTATCGTACCTGAAGTCATTGTTGGTGAGAGCGCTGGCATACCAATATTTGTTCTGAAAATAATAGAATATTATATTAATATAATCTAATGTTTAAATTTTTAATAGTTTTCTTTATGAATGAAAGAATAAAAATAATATATTTATTACTTTAATAAATACATACTGTCCAGGAGGTGTTTGAACTGGTGTACTTGGAGGAGATGGTGGTGATGAAGGAGAAGATATTGGTGATGATGGAGAAGATGTTGGTGATGATGGAGGACCAGTAGTTGAAGATGCAGTTACAGGTGATGCAACTGAAACATTCTCTGGCATTTCCACAGATTTCCAATCTTCATCGACATCAACTGTAAGTGCTATTAATGTTCCTACTTTGATATCTTGAATTCCTTCTCCTACCTAGAAAGTATTATATTAAATTTATTTTTGAAAATAATTGTTAAATATAATATAGAGTTTAACTTTAAAATCTTACAATGATTTTTGCAAGAATACTCTCATCTTCTAATTCCAAAGTAACAACTGCTTTGTCAGTTTGAATATCAGCAACCGCATCTCCTGCTTCAATCTTGTCACCTTCCTTTTTGAACCATTTCACAATGGTACCCTTTTCCATAGTAGGTGACAAAGAAGGCATTAAGATACTCTTGCCTTGGACTGAAAATAAATGAAAAATTATACTATTGCAAGATTGTATATTGAATAAAAATTATATAATTTTAATATTATTATATATATAAGTTTCATATAATTTTAATATTAGTATGAAACTTGATTGCATAATCAAATTAAATAATACATGCAAATACATTATAACAAACAATTATAACAAGTTATAATGAATGAAAAATAACAAAAATATTTTTCTTCAATATCTTAGACGTTATAATTTATGTATAAGTTAATCAATATTATTTCAAATAAATATCATTTGAATATATGAATGTATGTTAACCTCAATCATGTATAATGGTATTATTAATATATTTCTGAATAAATTGCATACCATCGAAAACCCAACTTGTATGGAAACATAATCGTTGATATTTTAACGGCACGAAAATTCGAGGTACTACACGACTATTATTTTTAATGGATAAGAATCCAATCCTAGGTATCATCATTTGCGCCATATTTGATGTGAAGTAATTGAGTTTTCAGTATAGATTATATATATATTAGATCACTTTCGACCTTCACAATGAGAATCTATTTATCAGATAAATCCGTTATAGGGTAAAGTCTTCTACTCAATACATTTTTTAATGACGTCGCATTAACTATTACTAAATAATTAATTATTTATTAAGTATATAATTATTTATTTAATTACATTTATTATGATAAAATTTTACATTTTTTTCCATATTATATTATAAAAATTAAAAATTTAAATTTCAGGTCTATTGATGTATTGCAAGTAACAATATACTACTACATATATATATATATATATATGTAATCATCGTTAAATATATACATTGATTATATAATTACAGCATATAATAAAATTATTACTATCAAAATATATTAAATATTTAGCCATTTACTAAAATCTTTTAATAAACAATATGAAATTTATTTAAATTATAGCTTTAAAACTAAATAATATAGATTGATAACTTTTTCTTAGATAATTATTTTGACTTATAACTATTTATTATAAAAAATTTAACAAATCATAATACTTTTTATTTTATAAACATATTTTTATATAAACAATTTCTATGAATAATATAACGTTTATTGAATTTTCATTATTAAAGTCTTATTTTTAATCTTTAAATCTTAAAATATAAGATTATAGTAAATGAATGAATAAAGTAATTAATTAATCACAGTTTATTCATTGATATGTAACGATCATTATCTCATAAATATATCGCAATGAAATTTTTCAATCCTTTTTTTTTTTTATAAGAATCGATGAAATTCTTATAAGATTTTACAAAAATTTTATTGAGTTTTGCATTCTTCTCGATCAGCATTTTGTGGCCAATCACATACATTATTCTTCGTATTCCAAATCAATTTGTTTGGACAAGTGAATTTTACTGCCCTTCCGTGAACACATTCATAATACTGCAACAAAAATTATATTTATATATATACCATTAAAAATTTTTTTAATAAGTAAATAAATTAATATAATAAAAATGTTGAAGAATGATTATTTACAGAGTTGCAATTTTTAGACGGAATGAATTTATCGTTATTTTCACAATCGATTTTATCTATTTCTCCATTGTCTATCGGTGGAATAGATTCAGATTTATCTTCTTCTGTAGAAGTAGATAAAATTATTTCTGGTTTTTGAGTAGACGGCTCTGTAGGTTTGTAAGATGGCCGAGTAGATTGAATAATTTGAACGTTATCTGTAGTGCTTGGTGGTCTTGCCCATTCAGGCTAACAAAATCAAACAAAAATAATATTTGATATAATATTTATCAAAAGCATATATATATCGATGATTATTTATATAAATACATAATTTAATATATATTAAGCTAGAATTTGTTTTATTTTAATAAAAGCATAATTTTTTACCGTAGGGGTAGTATGAAAATCTTTTTCTGGCACGTTATATCCTTCTAATCCTTCATGAATGACATTCATTAAAGGATTGCGGTCACCACAAAGTCCTTGAAAATCGTCCATATCAATAGCCCAAACCATAGCTCCCGCGTACCGAGATTCCTTGATAAAATCGATCTTATATTTCACACTTTCTACGTTTTCATAACCGACCCATTGCGTTCCTATAATTATTTAATTAATTTAAATTTTTCCTCAAAATTATTTACTGCGCGTATATTCATACCTTGATACATATATGGAACTTTGCCAATATTGTCGAATTTTTGAGTCCAGTTACTACCTGGTGCTTGCAATCTGGTACAGATCTAAAAATAGACATCTCTTTATTATTTTTTTTTTTTTGAGAAAAACGAACGTTAAAAAATTAACATTATAAAACGACAGAGAATATTTGACATTATGATTGATTCTAGATACTTCGTAATAAGCAAGAAATCCTTTAGCTTGAGTATATTCTCCAGGTTCCCCACCACCAGCCTCTTTATTGATATAGGTACCAGGCTCGTAATTGGTGTTACTCTGACTGAGAGTAAATGTACGTCCATACAATGGAATTCCAACGATCAATTTTTTAGCAGGACAACCTTTCTCTTCCCAAAGTAGAAGACCATCGTGCTAACGAGAAAAAAAAAATGTTGAATATTATGAGCAAAAAAATAAAAAATTCGACAGATAAAACGCATGTAATTCGAGGAGAAATTTATTACAAATTCTAAATTCGTACCACGTTCAATTTTTCGTATGCCCATTGGTCGTGGGGACGACGATAAAGTGGACTATGCACATCGGCGAATCCAGCCCAGTTACCTCGAAGATCGTAAGCCATTACGTGTACGGCATCCATATTTCTGCGAAAAATAATTTTATATACTTTATCATAATTCGAAACATTGATTGAAAATTGAAGCTAGAATCTCGATTTTTCTTCGATAATTCATACTTTTTAACTCTTAACTTACTGGCATATTTCTGGTACGTGATATCCTTCGTCCAAACGGAATTTCGCCATTGGCACTGCGATTGTCAGTTCCCATCCTTTCTTTTCCCTGTCGAAAGCGCGTCTTATTTCTTCAATGAAGTAGAAGAAATTGTCCTTGTCGGAAAACCTGCCACCTCTGTCACTGGCTCCAGGATATTCCCAATCGAGGTCGAAACCATCGAAACCGTATTTGTGCATAAATTCTGAAGACAGAAAAATAATAACAATAACACGAAATTTAGGCCTCGT